AACAGCAACAATAAAAAAAAAAAAGAAGAAAAGAGAAGGGAGTAGGTACATGTGATGTATGGACTTGGTGCAGGCACGCAGAAGAGCTGCAAGCAAGGGAGGATTCTGTTTGTTTGTTTTTGTTTGTTTTTTCCTTTTGGTATGACTTCCCTCTCTCCCTTTGCTCATAGGCTGTGGTGATTGAATTCCCGTTTTGCATTCCTCTTTCCTACTCACCTGCCCCTCGTTTGTGCTAAAGGCGCGGATGGACAAACGATTACAATTATACAGTTAATAATATACACATAGAAAATGAAAGACGGGAGGAAACAAAGCAACAACTTGATGTAGACGACAATGGAAATCTGTGTGAAATGCATATATATATATATGTATATGTATATATATATATATATATGTATATATATATATGTATAAATGCCACCTCTCTGGGTGTTACTGCCCCCCTCTGTGATTTAGCAACCACCGTCTCTTTGTTATACGTATATGTATAATATTATTGTTTTGTTGTTGTTTTTGTTGTTGTGGTGGTCATCGCCCAATACGCCGCGCGAAGGCAGCAGGCGGAGAGAAGGCGAGTTCACACGTCTGCACATATCGTTACATACATACCCCCCCCCCCCCCCCATATATATATATATATATAGGCTGGGGTGGGGGTGACAAGGACAAGCACGGGAAGACAAGGGTGCATCGTGGATTCCAAAAGCATCTATTAGAATATAAACTAAAAATTCTTGCAGGCCAATGAGTGAACGGAGTGCGTCGGGGCAAGAGGATTCCGGCAGCATGTGGGATGAAGCACAGCCCCTGCTACTTGAGGATCAGCACGCACAGAGAGTGTTCGAAAGGATCCAACAATTTCACGCCTTGTTTCAGAGCGGCGCACTCACCGAGGAGGAGTTCACTAAGGCGAAAGCACGTCTTATTGGCTTGGACACTATGCATTCTAGCGGGGCAAACTCGCGGGTGTCACATCGCTCGGAGAGACACAGACACCGTGTGAAACACAGCAGAGAAATCAAGGAGACGAGCTGCAGTGGGGGCACTATGTGCCATGGTGAACGAGGTCAAAGCAGAAGCCGTAGTCGCAGCCGTGGAAGCAGCAGCGGAAGCGGCAGTCGCCACCGCCGTAGTAGCAGTAGCAGTAGCAGCAGCAGCAGCAGCAGCAGTGCGTCGGGTAGCTTCATGATTGCCCCACGCGCCAACGTCTGGAAGTTACCCATCTCTGAGAGTGACACGGATAACACCAACGGCGCTGCACGGGTTACTGGTGACAAAGGGGCTTCCGGTTGCTTGCTAATTCAGGTACCGGAGAAGGAAAATATGCATGCAGTGGTGGTTGTTCCGGCGGAGAGTACGGCGCCGTCCTCACGAGCGTCCCCGCGGCGAAGGTACGGCACATTTTGTCCGGAGTGGCGCGTGCAGGAGGTGCGCGCCCGGGAGCCATTGCATGTGCCACTGCGGCCAAACTACGAGGTACGCGTGGAGTACTTTAACTGCCTTGGCGCCCGTGGTGACCAATTCAGTGATGTGAAGCTACGTGAGGACGAACTGCGGTCCCCGCTCTTTTTGCGGAGGCGCACAGCCCAACCCCCTGGTGCTCCGGGTGCGGGGACATCGCAGTCCGAGGTGGATTTAGCAAGTGCGATGGGGAAAAAATGGAAGTTGAGGGATGACTCATCAGCCTCGAGCTCGTCGACGAATCCAAATTTTGAGATGTGCCTGAACTGGTACTGGATTGACATGGTGGGGCGCGACCCATCCCGGCACAAATACAATAATGCACTTCGTTTTCTCACCGAGCAGTTTAACATTTGCGCGTCCTTCTTGACGGACAGGGATCATAGCATTGTGCTGCCGCAGATTTGCGTTTCGCCAGAGGTTCCCACGCAGTTTCTTATTTGCCTGCGCGTTGCCACGCCACAGATTGCTCTGGATGCCGACAGCGTGATGGAGCTCACCAACCGCTGGATCATTGTCGTGGACCTCAGCCAGAAGCTTGTCATTACCATCCACAGCGTGGACTGTGCATGCATCGCAATTATGCGGCGTCAGTGGAATTCCCTGATGAAGGGAAACGACATATCCTTTCAGGAGTTTCTTTTTAAGCTGCTTCACGATGCGGTACACACATATGAGAGCTCACTGGACGTCCACGTGGATCTTCTGGACCTGTGCGAATCTAAGCTCTTCTACTTTGGGCACAGTAGCATGCGCAATGAGAAGCTCGAAGAAGATAGTCGCCGGGGCAAACTTTCCAATAGAAAAGTGCTTTCACACTTTTCGAAGAGTTCCCACTCCCCATTCCTGTTGAAGCTACTTAATGAGAAGAACACAAAGCCCATGGACAAGGGCGCGATGAACATGTTTCTGTATCACCTGCATCGACGTACGAATGTGCAATATCGCATGCTCAGCATTACGCAGGAGGTACTCGCGACGAGTTTTATGAAGCTGCGCCTATGTAGCAAGGAGCACGCCAAGCAGATGTGTGTGAGCTGTATTGAGCTCATTGATCGGGCGCTGGAGGTTCGTGACGAGGCCAAGACGCTGCTCAACCTGCACATCTCTCTTCAGTCCTTCCGCGCAAATGAGCTGATGGCTGTACTGACAAAATTTTCCGCTTTTTTTATACCGTGTAGTTTTCTTGCTGGCGTGTACGGGATGAACTTCCCGAATGTGCCCGAGTTCAGGTGGGAGTACTCCTACTACTACTTCTGGACTGTGTGCTTCGGTCTTTGTTTTATCATCTACATGTACTTGAATGCGCAGGGGCTGCTGAATTAGAGGGCGCGTTATGTTTATGACTGGAACAACAAGAAAAGAAAACAAAAAAAAATGGCAAACAAACCTAAAATAAAATGAAAAAAAAGAAAAAAAAAGTATAATTTTTTTCATTTTCATTTTATATATATTTCTATTTTTGCTTTGTTTTGTTTTGATCTTGCTTTTGTTGTTGCCATTTGTATATGGATGCATAAAGGCCTGAAATCACGAGATGTGTGGGTGAGGGAAATACTCAGGTGTGTGTGTGTGTGCGTCATTTGTGCCTCACAATGGCACGTGCAGCGCCCCCCCAACGTCCCCAACGCCGTCCCTTCTTGCCTCGCATCTCTTCCTCTGCTCATGCAAGCCGGTGCTCACTGCCTCATACTCACTCATTCTTGCATTTTTCCCGTTTACACTCTATCTATCTCTCTCTCTCTCTCTCTCTCTATATATATATATATATATATTATATGGCCGCGTAGTCAACACAGCAGTTATTAAATTATTTTTGTTTGCGTTTTTGCTGCTCTTCTTCCGAGCTCCCTGTGTGTGCGTGTGTTTATTCACTCTCCGCTGGAGTCAGCAACAACATTATAGATTTAAGCCTCCGTGTATTGGCGTGCAGGTTCCCCCCTTCCTGACGCTTGCTCTCGCTCTCAGGTGTATACGCAATTATACCTACTGAGAGTGTGCGAGAAGGGCGTCGCGGCCGCGTCACGTAGTAGACAAGCACAACTTGAGCTGAGTTGCTTAAATCCGTTGCGAGGCTACGGCGTGCTTCACATCTTCACGGGCACGTTTTCTAGCGGCCCTACGACACGAGGAAGTGCGGCCGTGCCTGTGGCTGCGTAACTTGGCTTTTTCTTGTTGTTTGGAGCCGTGAACGAATTACTGTTGGTGTTTGGTTGGTTGTTGTTGCTGGTTTTTTGTTTTTTTTTGGTGGGCGGGACACGGGAGATTGCTTTAGTTTTAGTTGTTTTTGTTTTGTTTTTACTAGTTGTGTTTATCGTCCCGTTGCAGGTTGGCGTCCCACCTTGATACCCCGGCATTGCACGCGTACTATCACGTTAGTAGTCAAGCGGTTTCATTTGATTTTTTGTTTATCCAGCACCGTATACGTCTGGCGTGCCACGAAGCGGCAGCGGTGTCCACCCAGCGACAAACACCCATAGAGAGAGAGGGAGGGAGGAAGTGGGGTAGAGCGAGCCGAGGTACGGAAACTAACGATGAATGGGCGTAACGATAACCTGTTGCCTCCCATTGGAAGCGATGATAGGGTTACTGGGTCGGAGTCGTCGATGGAGGATTCCTCCCCGGGCACCGTTCCGCCTTCGACGTCGATAGAATCTGGCCAAGACGGGGACAATGTGCTGTGGCCGGAGGAGCAGCAGGGTGAAAACAACACTTCTTTGATGTGTGAGGTTGAGAATGGCACTGCGGCGGCAGCAACACCGGAGGCGGCGGAGGATTTGTCTGTGCCCTCGTCGGGGCTTATCAACGAGGGGTGTACTTGCTACCTGAACTCCCTGTTGCAGCTACTCTTCCACCTTGGCTACTTCCGCAACGCCGTCTACCGCATGCCAGACGAGGCTGACGAGTATGGATGCAGTATTCCTCAGGCACTGAAGGAATTGCTTTTTCATATGCAGAAACGCACGACACCGGGGCACACCAAAAAGTTAACCGCCGCGTTTGGGTGGACAGAGAGGGAGCTGTTCATCCAGCACGACATTCAGGAGATGGCAACCCTGTTGCGTGACAACCTGGAGGAGAAAATGAAGGGAACGGTGACGGAAGGGACCATCAATCAACTTTTCGAGGGACGTGGGGAACAGGTGGTGATGACGCTCGATAAGGCGCACGTGTCCCGAAGCCGTGACACGTTTTACGACATTCACCTGCCGCTGACTCCGTACGTGACTCTCATTGAGAGCCTCCGTTCACTGACGGTCAAGGAGCAGTTGGTAGGGGACAACAAGTACCGTGTTGAGGAACCTGGGAAGAAACCGGAGTACAAGGATGCGGAAAAGAGCTACGAGTTTCGCCGTTTTCCACCTGTTATTTGGTTTCACCTGAAACGGTTTGAAATGAATCTTATGTCACCCTCGCTTGAGATGAAGAAGGTGAACAGTCGCCTCGAATTCCCCCTGGAGCTGTGTCTGCAGGAGTTTGAGAAGGGTGATGAGGGCAGTGATACGGGAGCGACGCAGAATCAAGGCAACGAGAAGCATGCGGGTCAAACGATGGAGCCGCAGCAACAGCCATTCAGCACACATTCACCCGCCATTTATGACTTGCAAGGTGTTATCGTGCATCGTGGTTCAGTGCGTAGTGGACACTACTACTGCTACATTCGTCAGTGGGACCCTGTCCATGAACGCTTTGTACGCTGGATTGAATACGACGATGAGAAAGTCACCGTCGTGTCGGAGGATTTGGCTGTTAGTAACAACTTTGGGGGGCACCTGATGCGGCAAGGCCGTTCATCGGCCGTCATGGCCACAAACAATGCGTATATACTATCCTACGTGCGGCGTGCTGATTGCCCCAAGGTGTTGGCCCCCCCGCCGTTGGATAGTATTCCCCAACGTGTGTTGGACGCATTAGAGAGTGAAATACTCGAGGAGGAACGTCGGCAGCGAATAGAAGATGAACAGCGCCGCAAACTGAATATTGTCCTCTTCACCGATGACATCATTCGCGAGTACGTTGACGCCTTTCCAAGTGAACTCTTCCCTAGAGACACACGAACCGCTGAGATACCTGGAATTGTATTGGAGGTGCAGAAGCAAGACACAGTGCGCTTAGTATATGATAAGGTTGCCACGCATAAACAGTTGAGTGCCTTGCACTTAGTCCCTGGCGAATTTTGTTTATGGCGTTCCCTGGCACATCGAGGGCAGCGTCGAGATATCCCGCTTAAAATACATACCTCCCGTGGAGACACTTTGATGACTAGCTACCTTGACAGGAACGAGGAACTTGGGAGTCCCATGACGACGATTTTACTCTACCTACAGCTGCCCACAACGTTGCCTCCGTTCCCTGTGACGGATGCAACACCTCTTATCTGTGAAGCGCAAAAAAGCGTGGGTGTGAATGAGATCAGGTGCTCCATGCACCTTCGTTACCCAACCCAGCTTGACGCTGTTATGCTTTATTTGGAATGCAGCTGCGACCGGCGTTACCAGCTCCTTGTCTATCTGGAGCTCCTGGACACCGATGGGTTTCTACTGGAATACAAAGATCGCGGATACGCCAGTGAGCAGACTGTGTTTAATCTCAAAGTTAATCCAGAAGGGCGACTTATACAGAAACTGGTGTATCAAATTGAGACTCCAGGGGTGCCGTCAAGCGTGGGGGTGCGTGAGATACGTTTAGGTGCCCCTGCCGCGGCATTACCGAGCCTGCAGCCAAAATACAGTCCGGGTGAGGCGGTGTTGCAAGAACCGACCAAGGGCAGTGTCTTGATTTTTTTTAAATACTTCAATTATGTGACGCATCGTCTGACGTACGCCGGATCAGCGATAGTACCGCTAACCGCTACGATAGAGGCTTGTGCGAATGTACTACGTCATCTGTTAGGTGAGGAGGGTACAGTTACGAGACCTATTCAAATGCTTGAGGAAAGGCGTGGAATCGTGCATCCGTTACGTAACGACGAAACTATTGCCTCCATATCCGCAGTGGTGCTCGTTGGACAACAGAAGGACGCGCCACTGGTATGTTGCTACCCAGGAGTCGAAAACTATCTCAGTGCACTTTCGCATGCCATCCATGCACGCATCATGTACGTCAAGTTTGGCAAAAGAAACACTTCGCCCACGTTGATGTTGGATAGCAATAACAGCAGGAGTGGTGGTAGTTGTAGTAGTGTTTATACTACTGGAAAAGGTGAAGTCGGTAGGAGTAGTGGTGACGTTTTGGCTGGTGACGACGGCGCGGGAGGAGGTGTGGCTGGGAAGTGTCACGTCCTGGAATTTGTTTTGTCAACCGCGGAGGACAGTGGGGAATGCTGTGACACCAACTTCTACAACTCACGGAGGTTTGAGGTTGTCAGGGAGTATGCGATGACCATGGACACTCGCTGGAGCTACGCAGAGGTGTGTCACGTGGTGGGCGAGAAGAGTGGCTATGACCCAAATTATATTCGGTTGTATCGTGCCGACACCAGTGTGGCAGAGCAGCTGTCGCCCGAGGTGGATCCCTCACTGAGCACCGAAACGGTGGGGAACATTTTAAATAGCGGACGAAACGCCTTTTTCTTTGAGGTGCTGCCAGAACCCCGGCGTCTCATCGAGGCCATGCCGCGGGTGATTGCGACAGTTCGCACCGAAAAGAATGAACCCCTTTATACAGAGAAACTGGTGGTGCGTCAAAATGTGACATTTGGAGAGCTGGTGCAGGGGATCCTGCAGCGATGTTTTTTGGTGTTGCAACGGCGGCGTTCCGCTGCTTCTGCCGCTGTCACTGACGGTAGCGCCAGCAGTCATACAAGTGATCATGCCATGAGGACTGGTGCGCATAGCACCACCTCCACCCGTAGGAGCAGTCGTGCGACAACCCCTTTTGTCATTGGTTTACACTACTTGATTCTGGTGGTGGACGTGGGTGCCGGTGTGATCAAGCAAATTATTGAGGCTCCCATGACGCCAGACGGCAAGTGCAACTGTCGGATGCCTGTTCTGGCGGGGAGGGAACCGTTGACACTCTCGCTGGTGCCAGCGCAGCCGTTGCAGGATAATCAATTTCGTCTCGCTTGCTGTCAAGGTGAATGGCGGGATGAAATGTACGGGTATCCGCCCCTCACATTTGGACAGCCATTTGTCGTGACTGTCAGCGACTCCATCACCGTTACGGGGGCGCGGGAGGTGCTGCTTGCGTACACGGGGGTTTTGCCGAGTGAGGTGGAGTCGTCAAAAAATGGTGTGCTGATGTACCTCGATGTGGTTCGCTCCTTCCCGTCATGGGACGATAAACTTTTCCTATACTGGAAGTGTACGGAGAATCATAGTAACCGCATTCCCTCGCTGATGCTGAATCACAAGCGGCCGCGGGAAAGGCAAGGGTCCCGTTACGTTGCGCAGAACAACCCCACACTGCGGATATCAAAGAGATGAAACAGACAAACTGAGTACGTGTGTGTCTGTGTGTGTGTGGCATTCGGAATTGGCACCGGCAATCGAAGTGGGCGGGGAGGCAAAGGCGAGGTTGAGTCTGCGGGGGTTTTCCAAAACTTGGGGATTGTCTCAAAGTTTCCCCTTTTGTTTTTGCTTTTTTTTTCTTTTGTTTCGTTTTGTGTGTGTGCTCGGTTGGGTGTTGATGGTGCCGCCGACACCCTTTGCGGGGTCCGCCAAGGGGTGAAGCACGTTTCCTCTTTGTGTCGCCCCTTGTTTTTTTGTCTTTGAAGGACGCCTGAGAGGAGCGATAGAGGACAGGGTGGGGGGGCACGTGCAGGTGCGTGCTCTTCCCCCTACCCACACACACACACACATACATACAGACAGTTGCTTCCTTTCTCTTTCGCCTTCTCTCTCTCTCGTTTTTTTTTGTTTTATCACTGCCTCTTTTTTTCTCCCGATTCTTTTCTCTGCACGTGTGTGCAGGTCAACGCGAGGAGGGCCCCGATGGCAACGGTGGGAGATGGAGAAGGGGGAGGAGGAATGAGTGAGTGACACAGTTTCCCACGCTGACGCTCAGAAATAATATAAACACCTAAACAAAAAAAAAAAGAGGAAATGAAGGTGTTGTGGGTGCCTGTGCGTTGCAGCCGTTGGGTGTGCGTGTGCTGTGAGCGCCGTTTCTCATCTATGTAATGCCGGAGTGAGGCTGGATGTGGGAGAGGGATTTGAATTTATGTGATGTGTGCTTGTATCCATCCACCTTATGATGAAGGGGACGTAGTTTTGAGTGTGTTGGGTTGTACGCATGTATTTGATCCGAGCGACTGTAGATTCTCCCCTCTTTCTTTTGCATCCCACTCAAGGAAAGATTGTGTGTGTGTGTGTGCGTGTGTGTGTCTTTGCTTTGTGTGTTGTTGTCACCGTAAAAATTTATTGCAGGGCGACGGTAATGAATAAACGCAGTGCCTTGCTTGCGGCGTGACATGTTGTCATGGTGCCTGGTGCTTTCTACGAGACCCACCGGAATGCCTCTGCTGTGCTGGGGGACGAACACGAGGGAATGGCGAGCTGGTGCCGAGGTTGATTTCTGCCCTTTCTCTCCCTGCGGGTGTGAGGGAAGAGAAAAATGATTCGGAACAAAAAGCAAAAAAAAAAATGAAGGATGAGAATAAATGTGAATGCTCGCTGTTGAGTTTGCTTTTTTTTTGGTTTTTGTTCCTGTTTTGGCCCCGCGTTGTGACTCCTCGTGTTACCATTTGCTTCGTTGGCTGCGCGGGGTGTGTCGTTCTCCTCAGTGTGTGCGTGCGGGCCGCCGGGTTCGAGGCGGTGGGGCGGCGCGAATGATCTGCGCGGTGTGGAGGGCCGACTGCCCTCTCTTCAACTCCCTCCTTAAAAAAAAAAATATCCTTTTTCTCTCTCTTGCTGTGTGGGTGCGTCTCCGCCGCTTCTGCTGCGAAGGGTTCAAAGGAAGCGACGCACGTGGGCATCCGACCACACACCTACGAACGTGTCACAGACCCACAGACGACAGATAGGCAAATAGATAAGTACATCTCCCACTCCATCGCACGTGCTCACTGGGTGCCTGCCTCCGTGTGCACATCTGTCGTCTGTGACTGGCTAGTGAGAGGTGCGGGGTTTCGCTGCGGCCAGTGACGCGTCCTCCGCTGCACGCGCAAGGCACAGGGGAAGGGGAGAGAGGTGCGCTGCAACACACACGCGTACGAACTGCAAGGAACAAGATAGACGAAAAAGCATATATATATATATATATATATATATATAA